ATGTTAGAGGACAAGTTACATGGAGTGCTTTGATTTTAATTTTTGTTGGAAGCGTCTGTGCCTGAATAATCTGCAGTCCAGATGTTGCAACAACAGTAAAGTCCCTCTCAGCACACACACGAGGATAGCAAATGGCTTTGTTGTGAAATCCYGGACAAGCCTCTTCTCTCCCCCTTCCTCTTTCTATCAAATCATTCAAAAAAAATCATTGAAGATATTAGAGATCAGCTGGCAAAATAAAAGAATCATTTCAGAGGTAAAGAGAACCAATTCAGTTTGATTTATACCTTTTCCCTACTGCTCAATCTGCACTTACAAAGTCTAAAATAATTAGGAATCTTTCCAATAAGTATCAAATTCAAATTCTAAGGGGTCAGTGTGAAATCACGTGTTTTCAGACCAGCTATTAGATTGCTGAATGGATGTCATAAGACTGACCCTAAGCAATACAGAATGTATGTTCAGMATCTTAACTGAAATTCATTATGTGTATGACAGATGCAAATTGAGAACATCAGATYAGTGCATTTACTACAAAAGTTAAATTAACGACTACTTGCAAAACTTTTTTTGTAAACAAAATAAGTAACATTTGGCARCTTTTAAGGATTTCAAATATAGAGCAAGCTTGCAGTACTTTATGAGTAACAGTACATATGAATCCAAATTACCTTCAGTCTCTATCTACATGTAAATGACAGAAACGTTATACCTGTATTGAACAGTTAAAGTTACTTTCATGGAACATGAAAAATGTGCCTTCTCACAAATATTATTATTGTGTGCCTCAGATTTCCATCAAGAATTTATCTAGAAACTGTAATTTGCAATTTCGTCTTTGGTATAATTCCACCACAACTCAGCAAATTCCTCTCATATCTGCTTAGCAAAATAAAAAACTTGTTAAATTAACAATCCAGGGAATATAGAAATGTTAAAAAAGTATGCTCCTGGAATTAGTATCCAATTCATATCAACAGTGGGTTTTAAATTTGGAATAAATCATCCCCATCGTGCAATAAAGGGAGCCAGCAGGGCTTTCAGGGCTAAAGATGATACACCATTGCATATTGCAAACAGATACTCCTGCCTTTTTATCTCTGTCAATAAATCCTTCGGGAGAACTTTGGAATAGCAGGAACCTTGATAATTGCCTGTTATTAAGGAAGCTACAGCAAACTCTTCAGCACAGAGCATTGTAATGTGCTGAGGACAGTGGGGAACAGTTTTCCATCTGTCACTGCCCCTTCCAGAGAGGAAAAGAGGACAAAAGAAGGGAGGTGGGGGGTGAAAAGCATCTGGGAAAACTTACTGTAAAATTATTGCTGGCCCTGCCTCTGTTGTAGCAGTGTAAAGTGGTGTCATGTTCATGTACCCCCAAGATGGATATGTAGGATTAGGACGTAAAGCCTAAACTATGCCCCAGCATAAAATTCGGAGCAGTGTGGGGGAAACAGCCCCACAAGCTCCACTTCCCAGTCTCACTTCACCACCAGAAACATCAGAAAGCAGCACCAGCACCAGTGAAACTGGCTCCCAGGGCACGAAGCAGAATGCCACAGGAACCCTGCCAGATGGGAGGACAATTTACAGCACCTTCCAACAGCTGATGTCCCAAAGGAGATACTAACCATGACTCCAGGCTCTCCTAGATTGAAAAATGAGTCTGAGCAATGCCAGCCTTTATCTCCCATCTTTTATAACACCAGGCACAATTGCAACAAGTTTTCAAACCATTTTAATGTCGTCCCTGTTTTGCTGACACTGCTCTGCTAACACAGAAGGTGTTTGTGCCCGTGCTCAGGAGTGCAGAGCAGGCACTGTCCGGGCCCTGTCACAGCCCTGCCGGGTGTCACCGTGGGCAGGGGACACAGTAACCCCAGGCAGTGTTAGCAACAAACACACCTGGCAGCCACAAACGCTTGGCAGGGACCCAGAGCTGCTGTCACCCTCCTGGTGGCACAAGGCACTTGTCCCTCCACGTGCAAGAATGCCAGCCCTGCACTGCTGACCCACGGGCAGGACACATCTCCTCACACAGCTGAGGTTAACACTCTGTCCTCTTTAATCTCTCAGAACCATCAGTGCATCAGCAGCAGGATGGAACCTGAAAATCCTACCAGATTGGGGTGCAATAACTGGTAAACCTGGTATTTCCAGCCTGCAGTCAAAACAAACAGGAGAATGAAATCACAGCCCTTTTTCATTTTTTTTTTCTCCTTGTTTTTCTTTTTAAAGCAGCAGTCAAAAGGCCTCTTGAAGCCTTGTTTATAAGCAAGCCAGTCTCAAAGGCTGGATTTGCATTGGCAGGGTTTGCAGCCTGCAAATAAACCTTTCTAGGTAGTGTTTCCCTTCTGCCTGTGAGAGAGGAATGGTTTTTAACGTAAATTCTTCCAGTCCACATCCCTTTCCAACTCCACTGAAGAAAATGCCTAATTCAACACAGCTGGCCTGACCAAGGCTCCCTGGGAGCTGCTGCACTCTGGGCATGCACCTGCAACCCTTCCTTTGGGAAGGCAATGAATGGGGGCACACACTGCCAGCCTATTGACAGGGGCGAATCACTGCTGCCATTCAGAGCCAGGGCAATGGACAGAAGCTGGTACTCAGTTGCAATTTCTTTGGCAGAAATCATTCAATTTGGGGGATACCTTCTACCTTAGCAGCTGCTACAAAACACCTTTAAAAAGTACACTTCTTTAATCAACACTAAGGCTCCAAATTGAATGCCAAGTTAYAGTTTGAAAAAGCTTCTGTGATCAAGTGATAATCAAGAAATCATGGAATGGTTTGTGTTGGGAGGGACCCTAAAGATCATCTATTCCAAATCCCCTGCCATCGGCAGGGACAACCTTCCACTACAACTCCTAGAAAAATGATTTTCAATTACGTGTAATTGTTTTCCCAATGTCCTGTGCTCTCCATTCCCCAGGGATCTTGGTACTACTGATGTTTTCAGWGATTAAGTGAACTCGACCACCAGCTGTGCTCAACATTTACCCCACCCAATTAAGGCTKGGGATCTTAATTTGCAAGGAAGATTTCAAAGACACAGTGACATTAACCTGAACTCCTTGTAAAAGACATCCCGAAAATTTCCTCTGGTAGACGCAGACATTTGGAAAAAAACTTGCCTTCTTGTACKAGGTAAGTTCAAAGCCACTTCTTTCAGTGCTTCCTCCTGGGTGGAGCACACATCCTCCCTCCCAGGAGCTGCTGCCAATGCTCCCACTGCTCCCTCATTTTACAATCATAAATGTGTTGTGAAGATAATGTGGTGAAAAGACAGTGAAGTGACTCTGCTGCACTGACCTGGCCACTGGACTGACCACTCATCTCAAGATGCAATTTGCAATCCTATCTGATCCACTCCTCAGAGACTCCTAAGCTTTCAGAAGAACAAAGCTTCAAAGGTTTCCCAGCTCCCCTTTCAAAAGAATTTACAAACTTGTGCACCACCACACTCTGATGGTTCAATACCTKACACTGCACATTAATGAAAACGTCACAATCCACAGACTTGAAGGGCCACAATCAAAACCCAAGATATGTGGGATTTGTGGGATACCCGGGGACTGCCTGAGGCATCAATAGAATCTCAGTGACTCTGCAGAAAATAATGACAATTTTCAGTTCTCCTTCAATACTGGMGATAAAATGCAGTGGGGAAAGAAAATCACGCAGAGCAAAAGATCTCAYCCAGAGGTGCTGCCTGGAGCTCTGCACAGCCCTGTCCTGCAGCACTCACTGCTAAGGAACTGCACATTATCTTACAACCACACAGAAAAAAGATTTATCTCTGTGCAAGTCCAAGCAGCAAGATCTCTTCGATCTGTTTCACACAACTGTCTCTATTCTTSTCGATTCCTGATGTTTATTTTTCACTTTCAGCCTCCTCCTGATATGTCACTAGTAGCACCTGGCAGTTTCCAATGCTCTCATTCATCCCTGCATACGCCTGAGCGCTTTTTCCATTCACTTTTTCCCTACACCCTTCTGCAGCTGAYTCAAGACTCTTACCAAGCCTGAAGMTCACTGAGCACTGAYTGCTTGAGTCTTAATTGCTGTGCAAAACYCAAGYAAACACCRAGTCCTAAATGTCAGCCAACRCCACCTTCCTCCCCACCCACCCTGCCAAGGATGTTATTTTCAAATCTTCTAAAAAAGATATATTGATGTATTTTCCTACCCATTCAACTAAACAAGGAGAGTGACTTCCATAATTCCAATTGGTTGGAAGCTTCCACAAAGGCATTTTTCACAAAGATTAGAAGCTAAACCTGAAAGTGTTTACAGCCAAAGTTTGGGCTGTAATGCACAGCTCATGTGATGGCACCAAAAAGCTTTAATTGTCTGCAATGTTACAACAAATACATGAGGAACCAMCAACCTATCACCCAAACACATCAAAGCAAGGCTACCTGAAAAGGAGGCCTGACCTCACTCAAGCTGTAGGGAAAACATGGGAAAACTATCAGTCACAGGCAGAAATATAAATTTTGTGATAGTTTTATGATAAGTAATAGAAATCTAGTATAAAAAATATTCAGTGCATTGGTTTTTAGCATCAATGTTTTAATGTAATCTACTAAACAAATTCCAGGCCCTGCCAGCGTTAAACAAGCAACTCATGCTGCTTGTAGTTTTTAATTCCCATAGGATAATTTTTACATCCACCTGCATAACTGGGGCAGGAAGAAATCTGAATTTGCTATAACACCAAAAAATGGATCAGGATCAGTATTTTTCCACAAGAAAGGAATCAGGATGATCTTCAATAGTTTACTAGCATTTCTTACCCATAATTATATTTTTTCTKTTCTCCTGAAGCTGTTTAACTATGAAGAACATCAAATTAACTTGAACAGTCACCATAAGCACCTTTTTTATTCACTGAAAGGTCAGTAGCAGACATCAGTCTTACCTTACCTGACACAAAGAAAATATTCCTGGTTCATTCTCAGTGACACCGGGGCAAAGACAGGAACTGCTGTACTTACTTGTTAAAAAGGTTCAGCCCAATCCTATAATGGCGTTTCCTGATAACATCATTACTGAAGGCAGGGGAATCCCAGCTGTTTCGAGTCTCTTTGTGGTAGGTTTGTTTGCTCAAGGTTTGCTCCCTTAGGCTGTCTCTAGAAGAGGACTCTGAACTACAATTTATTGTGTCATTAGAGTTGGAAGTGCTGTTGATGCTGTCGTTGTCTCCATCAGAGTAATCAGACTCTGATTTGCTTTGCCTGTTTGCTGTGCCATTGATGGCCAAGTGACTGTCTATGGGCCTAGCCCTGTGCCTGGCCTCCTGCTCCTCTCTGGTGATGATCTTGGCAGGAATGCTGTGAGGGATATGTTTGGGGCTGCCTTGCTGGCTGGTGATGCCTCGGTCRTACGCATTCTGTCTCTTTAACGAGCCCCGCTCCGAGCGATCACTCAAGTCCACAGAACTGTCACTGGGAGGCTCGATAGTGAGCAGAGGGAGGTGATCCATCCTCATCCTCTGCTCCTGACATTCCAGTGATGGGGTACTCCTGCAGCTCGTATCAGTGTCTATCTTATCATCTTTGTGGGTCATGGACCAGTACTCTTGGGAAGAGTTCACGGAGCGGAGCCTCAAGTCTGACTCCGTGCTGGACGGTCTGTCCACAGACTGGGAGAGCGGCAGGGGTGGGGACAACTCCTCCTCATCAATGTACAACGTGACATCRCTGTAGGATGCCGTCATCTCGTCCAGCTTCCTGTGATCCACATTGTGGATCACCGGTTTGCTCGGAGCACAGCTCTCCCTCTCCATTTCCCGGCTCCTGACCTGCTCTGCACTCTGGATTTCATCTGAATGCAGACTGCGGCAGTTCAGTGCATCGTCGATGGATTCCGCCAGGGATTTCACCTGCCTGGAAAAAGCATCCTCCAGTTCTGTTATCGCATCAGTGAAATCAGTGGATGCTGCTGGGGACTTCATGGTAGCTGTCTCCCCGAGGTCTTCACACTCTGCTGGTACTAGGGAGCCCAGCTTTGACCCATCATTTGTAACAGAAACTTGCTTCCCTTCGAAGTAGGAGCTGTGGACTTTCTCAGGTCCTTCAAAGGAAAACTGCATTCTCATATTGGACAGGACGATGCGCCTTGACATGCGATTCTCAGACATAGAACTGCGCAGGCGCTCAAAGTTCTTGTTCATCTGATACTGGCGGAAGGCGGTCTGGATGGTGCGGGCAGCATGTCTGGTKATCAGACGGCCCCCATACTTGCGTTCTAGCATCTCCACCTGCCACGGGGAACACAGACACCTCATGTCACTCCATGCAGCTTAGGACAAGGTTAAAATCTCACAAATAAAGTTCCCATAGCAAGTTTAATTTTCAGAGTATACACTGGTTTTCAAAAACCCAAAACTCCAATAGTGACCTGGAAAGTCATTTGCAAATTCCACCATAAAATACAAAAATATATGTGAATGCTGTCAGATAAAATTAAGGTGTTGGCAATTTGCATTTAATATGTGTTTAAGTTTTTGGTTTCATGCATTAGAATTGGCGTGTCCTTGTCAAACTCAACTGCAGCACAATGCACTCACCCTGTATCATTCTGACAGTGMAAATGGCCATATTTTGGAAGTCTAAAAGTGGCCACCACCTTTCTAGGCATGYATTGCATTCTACACGAGTAAAACCTAGGTAGCAAAACTTCACCCAGGCCTGGGATCAAAGCAAAACTGAGCCTCTTCCAGAGAAGAATGTGMGCTTCCAGAGGAGTGTCTCTGATAGAATAGCCACACACATATTTTTCCTCAAACCAAGAACATAAGCTTCTGAATGCGAATTCAAATCTATTTACATCCTTGTAATTGCACCCAAAATTGCCAGCATTTCCAATCAACAGAATGAATATGCAAAATAAATACATTTAAATGCTATCAATTTAAACCAGTAAAAATGATGTGTCAATACTTTTGGAATACTCACTTTATCTTCAAATCTTTTCTTTCAAAACATGAAAAGCATCACAGAATCCTGGAACGGTTTCAGTTCCAGGAAAGGAACTGAAAGGAAGGAACTTTAAAGCTCATCCTGTTCCACCCCCTGCAATGGGCAGGGTCACCTTCCACTATTCTAGGTTGCTCCAAGACCTGTCCAACCTGGCCTTGGAAAACTTCTAGGGATGGGGCAGCCACAGCTCCCATTCCCTTTCCACAATAAAGAAGAACTCTTTTTTTGTTATTTCTAAATGTTAATCATTATTTTTTAATTATTCCTTTTTTAAAACTATAGATACAAACAGTATTGTGCACAATTATTGGCATAAACTGAGGAGGCCAACCTTCAGATGGGCTCAGATCAGGATATTGCAAAGGAATTCTTCTTTTGACTGTATCTTTAAACTTCTTTTGACAGGACTCCAAAAACTGTTACTGATCTCTGAGCTAGAAATGTATAAATCTCTGCATAATTTTCTGTAGTTTCTCTTTAAATGACTGTTTAGCCTTTAASCCCCCAAATGGGGATTATATTCCCCCCACATTTGCACAGGTCAAAGAGAATTTGTAAGGCACTCTGAATATTCAAAAAATTAYTAAGACCTTTTATCACTGCTGCCACACAATTGCTACTATTTCTATTTGTAGTAAATGTGTCTTTTATTAGATATATATATGTAGATTTAAAAAAAATATAACATGTATTTAAATCATATGGCATTATTTAAATAGTATATATATATATATATATGTAGATTTTAAAAAAATATAACATGTATTTAAATCATATGGCATTATTTAAATAGACTAATCTCAAAACTAATTGTGAATTTAGTTCTCTCAAAATTGAATGTCAAACCTAAAGAAAAGTAAACTAGCACAGCTAGTGAGAAAGACTAAAATAAACCCTAATAATTCTATAAAATAAATCACCTGGACTTTATTCTTGCAAACAGACTGTTGGCCTTCAGGTTTACACAGAAAGTAACATAATCATTGATTATCATAAACTAGGAGGTTTAGGTGAGAATTTAAATTGAGAGGAATTTCCAACTTGTCTAGATGAGTTAGACATGTGATTAATTAAACGTAATGCCTATTTCATGCACCTTTTCAATACGTATTTAATGCCCACTGCCTCAAGGTAAAGCTTTGGACRTTTTCCTAAATATTTTTTCAATATCCTCAGCTCTTTCAATGAGAGCTTTTCAAGRGCAGCAAGCAACTCTTTAGTATAAAGCTTGCCTTATGTATCATTGTCACCTTTTATTGTGCAAGACTCCCTGAGCAAATAYGAAATAACATCTGCAGTCCTCATTCTCTATCTCACTGGCATATAAGGACAGATGGAATTTGGCTTTGTGGAATATCTGCAGTGCAGGAGATCCCTTACCCTCTTGCATCCATCCCTGCTGAGACATCCAGAAAAAYCAACTACTAAAGGTGGCAAAGGAAAGAACAGTTGAGATCTCCCAAGGAGGCCCAATTTAACAGAGCTGGCATCAGGAACTATCTTTGTTCCCACCCGAAGGAGAATTTGGTGAGCACAGAGGCTGAACTCATCCTTGCAATTCCAAATATTGGCTTCAACTCAATCAGAGCTCAAGGACTGTTCTTCCAGCTCCCTCTGGAGCAACATTATACGGTCCCCTCACCTGGAAATGAAGACTTAGCCCTATAAATTTCATTGATTATCAATGTTTGGTCCAAATCAAGAGTAGCTTGCTTTCTGTGTCTGGAATTTCATTAACATATAAGTTGGAGTAACTATGGAATATACCACAATGAGTCACAGCAAACAAAATATTCTGTGACAAGAGCTCTAACAAAAAAAAAGCTACAGCTCACTTACCAATGAAATCCAATGCATCCTACATATTTGCTGACTTTATGCTTTTACAGCCCCATTTTCAAACGATAAATCTGAACTTATATGGCAATAAAGATCTTTCAGAGCAAAGCTTAAGAGGAAAGCTGTGGCTGCCTTCTTACAGAAGTACCTCTTTAGGGACAAAGGCTTTGAAAAACTATACTGTTTCCACCCAATACTTTGCAAAGCACATGGGAGTTTTGCCTAGTTGAGTAAAGCCAATTAAGGCTTGAATTCACGTCACCGATATAAGAGAATATCAGTTGCAATAACCTCTTCCTTCCTTTCTGTGACAACAAAAACACCCAGGTTTCAAAATGACTCATTTTCTTAGAAAAATATTTTGCATTGTTACATTCCAGTGCTCTCCTGGAGCATAAAATCACAGTTCCTAGAACTGTTTTTACTTCTAACAGTATTAACATATCTTTTACAGCTTTCTCCAGGAAGTGGGGAAGGTGAAAGGGACAAAGAATAACAGAGTTAAAAGTCACTACTGAAGTGGTGGTAGAAAAGACTTCTCCCAGCTCACGGACACAAACGGGATAACAGAGCTCCAGTACCTGCTTATCCTGTAGGTCTGAAGAGAGTTCATAGCTCTCCGAAAGCGATCGCGACCTTTTGATGGCTTCTTCCTCGGCCTGTTTGCGCAGGATGGAGGTGGAGTGCTGGAGCTTGGGCCGGCGGGCTCTCTGCTGGCCCGGCGCGATGGAGTAGAGCCCGTACGGGTGCTCGTAGTGCTCGGGGCTCAGGGCGGAGCTGTGCGTTATAGGGCCCTGCGGGTAGCCAGAGGGGCTATCCAGGGAAGTGCCGGTCTCGCTGCTGGCCGCCTCCCCCTCAACGCTGCACAACGACASACAGAAAAAGCGTCAGGTGAGTCCGGCACGCCGAAATTATCCTCAACAACAAACAGTACACTTTTGCTTTATTATCATTTTGTGTAGGCATCCAGCACATTTCGTTGCTCACATGCAAGTGTTACAGGTAACATGGCTTCCATGTCAACCACCACAGTTTTGCCTGTAGTTTTTGCAAGTGTCAATCTGCCGTGCCCATGTCATCTTTTAGAGCATGGCTCAAGCAGGAGAATGGAGTTTTCGAGCATTATTTAACTTTATATAGGAATTACTAATAACATCCTGAGTAAGTCGCTCAGCAACTACTCTGTAAAATGAATGAAAACTTGTAATTTCTTATAAGACTGCTCATTTCCAAGTTGTTCAATTCAACATGACAGATGCTTATTTGTGTCTTTCTTTGCTTTGACAAATTAAAGCAATGTTTTCTTATATTACAGTTTGACGTAAAAGGATTACTTTCATGGAAATTGGAATTAAATGGATCTTGAGAGTTTCTAGAAGCTAAAGTTAGGGAAAAGTACTTAGAGGAGAAATCTCATTTATTTCTCTGCTAGTAAAAGACTGCTCCCATGGGATACTTTTGGCAGGTTTTGGAGTAAAGCATCTCAAGGGGCAGTGTTTCTACTAATGAAACCAACATGGTTTCAGGTGAAGAAAACACAATTGCACCTATCTGGCAAAGAAACTATTTTGTTTTCACGTGAATGCTGTTATTGCTAAGGAATAATGGAAAGGAAAAAACCCTTTTACACTCAAAGAGCTGCACACATAGGAAACATTTTAAAACTGGGCCCTAGGTGTATTACTAATAGTAATTTGTATTTGGGTTGTATTTACAGTGTGGCACTCTCACATTGCACTGTGTGCACTTTCACTCTTCCATCTTTTCATGTTTCACAGCAGTATTTACTGTCTGCCTCATCCTGTGTACACAGAGCATTGATAGAAAAATGAAATTTTACTTCTTTTTCATCCCTCAAAAGACTYAGTAAACACTTCACACATGCACCAATATAAGCCTTTGCAGCACTTCCCCTACCTTTTGTTTTAGGGAAGGTACATTCAAACWCCAAAGAAGTAAAATACCCCATTCCAACCACGCCTTGTACTTTTTGCCTTCATTCATATATACTTAAAAAACAAAGCCCTCCTCTTGTCTCAGCTGTCCCTTCAAAAAGTACAGAGCAATTTTTGAAAGAATGTTCTGCACTGACTGAAGAGCTGAGGGTTAGCCCCAGCCAAACTCCTAGCTTGAACAGTGCGGACTTTTTAAAGGGAAGGAGAAAAAAAAGCCCCATAGATTTCTTAAAATGCTTCTATAAACATGTAAAACTGAAAGCAAGTCCTTTCTCTTTGCCCATCAAAATATGACTCCAACCAAAAGGTATTTTCAAACATACTTAACCCAAGCTCGAAATATTTKCAGTGTGCACACACTGCTTTTTCCAAAAAGGAAGCTGACAGGAAACTAATCCCTTTCCCTCCGTGATACAGCTGGCTTTTAACTTAAAAATGATAAACTATCCAGAGTTCTGCTGGTGACATTGAGACTGTGTAACCACCCGTTAAAAACAAACAAATCATTGTCTTTGAGGCATCCATTAAGGACGCGGTATGATACTGAGCTGCTTCACGTTCTCTCTTTAAACACTGAAATTCCTTCCTCTGTTCTGCCAACTGTAAGSCTGTGCTATTTTGGACACCACAACCTAGCTGCAAGTTTATTTGTAACTACTTTCCATACAAGCATGGCAAATTTGTTTTTTTAACAGGAAGGCTGGAATTATCTTCTTAGGTTCTGTTGATATTTTCTGCCTTCCTCACCCTTGCATTGTGAACTATTTAATAACCCTTCCACGCTGATTATAACCTCCTGTTGACATTTTAATAATGGTACCTTCGATGGATCACTTAACCTTTCCCTCAACAAAAAGGGTACTGCCCTAATTAGAAAAAGTTTGAAGGATGTCTGCCCAACTGAAGTTAAGGTTTTTTTCTTAATTTTTGGTTTGCTTTCTGTACTTTTTCCAGATATAAATGTGATGCTTGATCTAATTTTGCTTATGGGCCTATTCCCTGCCACCTGACCTTTGAAGCATGGAAGTAATTACCTTTTACAACAGGCACAACAGCCCTTCAAAGCAAACACGCGTGCACAGGCTTTAAAGCTCTCCCCCATTCAGCTCTTCCCAGCCTCCCAGGAGCAGCTGAAGCTCCATATGAATTMTTTCATTAAAGTGAAACTTCACTGGCAAAGAAAAGCAGCTTGCTTTCTACTTCTTCTGCTTTACATATGTTTGGAGAAGAAAAATATGTCAACAAATATGACTTGTGTGAAGCTGTAAGGATGACAAGTTGGATTGCTTCACTGAGGGGTTGCAGCACAGAGCTGGCAGAAGCGCTCACCGAGCCAAGTTCCATCATTTCTCAGCAGTCCTGGGTAACTGGAGGTTATCAAATACAAAACACCCGTCTAAAAGGGTGGGAAGGGGGATTCAGGGAACTCCAGGCGTGCCAGCCTGACCTCAGTACTGGGGCAGGTCACAGAGCAGGTCATCCTGAGTGCCACTGCAGGACAACTCGGGGATCAGGCCCAGCCAGCTGAGGTTTGGGAAAGGCAGGTCCTGCCTGACCAGCCAGCTCTYCTCCTATGCCAAGGTGACCTCCTTTAGTGGGTGAGGGAAAGGCTGTGGATGTCACCTACTGGGACAGTGGTGCYTTTGGCATTGCCCCACAGCCTTCACCTGGAGAAATTGGCTGCCCRTGGCTTGGATGGGTGCACTGTTCCCTGGGTGGAGAACTGGCAGCTGTCAGGGCCCAGGGAAGGGTGGGGAATGTGACATCCAGCTGGTGCTGGGCACCAGGGGTGTCCCCAGGGCTCAGTGTTGGTGCCAGCTCTGTTCAATATCTTTATTAAAAACCTTGGTGAGCAGATCAACAGCATCCTCAGTCAATTTGCAGATGACACCAAGCTGGGCCGGGTGTGGATCTGCTGGAGGGCAGGAAGCTCTGCAGAAGGATTGGGACAGGCTGGACCCATGGGCCCACACCAACAGTGTGAGGCTCAACAAGGCCAAGTGCTGGGTGCTGCACTAGGGTCACACCAACCCCCTGCAGCTCCAGSCTGGGGAAGAACAGCTGGAAAAGCTGGGAAAGGGCCTGGGAGTGCTGGTGATAGCGACTGGACATGAGTTCAGGTATGCCCAGGTGGGCAAGAGACCAATGGCCCCTGGGCTGTTCCAGCCATGGTGTGGCAGCAGAACCAGGACCAGGCCTGTCCCCTGTGCTGGGCACTGCTGAGGCCACACCTCAAATCCTGGRGTCAGTTCTGGGCCCTGTGTCCCAAGACAGACCTTGAGGGGCTGGAGTGTGTCCAGGGAAGGGAATGGAGCTGGAAAAGGAGCTGGAGCACCAGGAGAGGCTGAGGGAGCTGGGAAAGGGGCTCAGTCTGGAGAAAAGTAGGCTCAAGGGGGGACCTTCTGGCTCGGCACACGATGCCCTGACAGGAAGAGGCGGACAGGTGGGGGTCAAGCTCTGCTCCCAAGGACCAAGGGATGGGATAAGAGGAAATGGTCTCAAGCTGTGCCAGGGGAAGTTCAGGTTGGCTAGTGGCAAAAATTTCTTCATGGAAAGGGCCATCCAGGCCTGGGCAGAGCTGCTCAGGGCAGTGGTGAAGTCCCCATCCCTGGAGGGGTTTAAAAGCCATGTGGATGTGGCACTTGGGGACATGGACCAGGGGTGGCCTTGGCTGTGCTAGGGAACAGTTGGATTCAGTGGCCTGAAAGGACTTCTCTAACCCAACAATTCTATGACTCCTACACAGGCTCAGAACACCAGCCAGTCACTGCAGGGTTACAAGGGTGGTTAATCTATCCACTTATTAAAACTGCCAACACACAAAAATKTCAAGGATTTTGCTCTAGGCTTGCAGCAGGAACTACGAGAAGTCTCCCTGTGACTAAGGGAGTAGCTGAGACACCTCTCTAGCACTGCTGCACTTCCACACCCTGCACACTGTCTCTCTCAGATGGGTGAGAAATTAACTGTATTAAGCACATGGCAAAAATGGGCAATGTAATATTGTTAATTATTATTATTATTTATGCCTACATACATATATATATATAGTATTAAATACGTGATAATGTTAATTAAAAGTCCTAACTTGAATTAGAAATATCTTCTTAATAAAGGTCTCAAATTTGAGGCATCTGCTACCTACCATATATGTCCAGTACAATTACTGATAATTTCAATGTTTAAAAAAAAATCTAGTGGATTAATTTGGTTCATCTCCCTGCAGTGTGCAACTGCATATTACCAGAGAGCCCAGCATTGTTGAATATTCTATTTTTATAATATTTGGAGAATGCAAACCAGTCAAAATTAACCTAGAATTCCRATTGTTTTATTACACTCCTGTTTCAACAGGAAATAGACATTATCTTCCAAGCCAGAGAAAGTGCAAGGTTGCTTGCAAATATTTTACAAAGAAGCTGAGAATGGAACAGCTAAAGAACAAACGTGAAACTTTTAAAAATAATTAGTATTACTAATATAACTTTGCATGAACAAAAAACAAAGCCTTTGAAAAACTTTATACAACTAAATTACTTTTTGAAACAAAGGCCAGCACCTATTCAATCAGCATTTGATCAGAAATTGAAACTGAACATTTCTTCCTGCCTTCTTCATTACCTTGACTTGTAATATGTCTAAAAAGTTCCCAAACACCATTGTGCCAAGGAAGAACAGGGAAGAAGAAAGGCTTAGAGTAAAACAGAAAGAGGCTATGTACAGTACTTTATCATATTGCAATAGAGATGTAAAACTCTTGTGAAAATCAGGTGACTTTCAGTAATGATTACAAACCAGTATTCCCCAGCTGGATTTGGGCATTTTCTCCCATTTTGTCTGGGACTGGCTCTGACTTCCTGCAGGAGCTGAGCCAACACACCCTGCAAACCTCTTTAAATGTGAATC